ATATATACAATAAATTTATTTGAAAGTTAGTGAAATATTTACAGCATCATGATCTGAGTAGTACACAGTAACTACAGAAGTGTGAATTGTATCAAGCATCTCATTTCTTACATACACATGATCAAGTAAACTTCCTGTTGACATGAATGTTGGATTTTGAACAGTTTGTGTATAGTTTAAGGATTCCATTAGGGCGTTAAGTGGCTGGACCTCATTATCATTTAAATAATTCATATTAAAGTCACCTTGTATGATATCTACTTCATGGCTACTGAGAATACATCTAATTGTGTTCATGTACTGTGAAATGTTGGAACTGTGTTTACGATAAAGTAGGAGGATTGTAATAGGTACTGGTGTCATGTCACTTACAACAACAAATTTGAGTGCATTCATTTCAGGAAAGTAGTTATGTTCCTTGATTTCTAGATTGGGTTTTGAACAGATTGCTAAACTGGAATATCTGTCAGAGACATGATCTTGCCTATATAGCATGAAGGGATAGATATTATTTCTTATTTCATTGTCATTGGTGCAAGGGAGAAGTTGTGTTTCTGTAAAACATATCATGTCAGCATTGAAAATATTAGAGTCATGTTTGATATCTATGCTGTGTTTTTTCAGTGACCTCACATTAAGAAGAGAAATGTTTAAAGAAGAGGTGGGTTCTGTTATCTTTTGAGGCTGTAGTGGTGAAGTTTCTCTCAATCTTTCATATTCTTTATGTACTCTAGGGTCTGCTTTGACATGTTTACTCTGAATGCTTCCTAGGATGTAAATACCATTCATAGATGTTGAACGGCTCARGGCAACATAAATTTGTCCATAGTTGAACGATCTCTGTTTAAATAGTTCAAAACTTATTACAACTTGATGTAAAGAGAGCCCCTGAACTTTATGTATTGTCACAGCATATGCCAGTGTAATAGGGAATTGCACTCTTTGTATTTCTGGTGAAGATGGTTTTCCTGGTCTTATTTTAATTCTTGCTAGTATTGGCTCAATAGGCACAGCATTGTTTCCTCTAACAAAAAGGTTACTAGATTTTGCAATCATATTGGTTTCGCGATAAACCTTGAGATCAATTTTTCCCTTTAACCCTTTATTTTCTTCGCACTTGTGTCGAACGTACAATTCACGATAAACTCTGAACACACACTACAGCAACTTCCTATATAGTCTTTTACAATCTTTCTAGAATGTTCTAACATTACATTACACAATTTTGATAACTGTCTGTACAGTTCTATTCCTGTGTCGTCATCTGAAGTAGAGTCCATGCTATCGTCCATGTAGGTTGACTTCAAAATCGTCTCTGCTGCCACTGGAAATTGTTCTTTATGCTTCAGCGCATGCTCTTGCGTGACAAACTGAGCTTGGAATGGTGACGAATTCACCCCAAAAACTACTCTATTGAACTCGTACACATCTGGTGCCCTAGTCTGATCCAACGATCTCCACAAGAATCGATGAAATGGTCTGTCTTCTGGTGCTAGGCTTATTCGTAAGTACATTTCTGCGATGTCGCACACTAATGCTACGAGGTTCTTGCGAAATCGTAGTAAAACACTGAAAAGTTCACGCTGCAACTTGGGTCCTTGGTGAATGACGTCATTCAGGGAAATCCCGCCGCACTTAGCGGACGTATCAAATACAATTCTCGTCTTCGTCGTTTCTTTGTCTAGTCTTACGACAGCGAAGTGGGGCAAATACTATGATTCGCTTGGCCTTTTCTCCGTTTCTGGAACCTTTCTTATGTAACCCTTTTCTTCGTACTGATTGATCACGTCTGAGTAACTCTTTCCCATCTCTGGATCCCTGCACAGCCGTTTCTCTGTATTCTGCAACCGCCGCAGCGCGGTCTCGTAGTTGTCTGGCATGAGCGGTTTCTCTTCCTTCCATGGTACTCCAATCTCGTATCTTCCATCTTCAAACTTTATTGACTTCTTAAGTGCCTCCAGTGCGATTTGATCTTCTGGCTTTAATATCTTGGTTTTCATCTGTAATCCGTCGTCTTCAATCTCCCAGAACTTTCGAATAGCGTTGCTCAACTCAATGCTTGGTTCCTCACGCACGAAGTAAGTACGTATAAAGTTTGTCCGATAACCCTTCTCATAACATACGCTGGGATGTCCAATACATGTCCATCCTAACGGTGTTAATCTTGCCACTGGCTCGCCTGGTTTCCCTCTTACATCTTTGATTGAATAGTGTAGATCAGCATAATCGATACCGATGAGGATATCAACAATTGGGCGTGGCCCCAGATAAGGGAAGTTTATATCTTTTAGGTGGCTCCAGTTCTTGGCACACCTGGCCCAGTTAACTGCTTTCATGTTGCCTGTGACTCTGTTCGCTGTAAAYGCAGTAATCTTCATGTTTATTTTGCCATCTAAGCTCTCTATCCCACACTCGATCGGCATCGTCTCGAAAGTATCTTCCTGGCCATTAAGAACGTTGACTGTCACTTTACGACTCTCGCCCTGTAGTCCTAACTCAGCGGCGACATCACTATTTACGTACGTCTTGGTACTGGCGTCGTCCAGCAGTGCATTCACGACTAGTTTCCGCCCGCCATTCTTTAGTATCACGGGTACTGTTCTCAACGCGATGTATTCCTCTTTGACGTTTTCTTTGGCATGTACCGTGGTCGTGTGTGATCTCTCGGATTTCTGCTGCTCCCCCTCCGTGGCAGGTCCTCGCACGCCTTGCTTTGCATCTTGGCTGCTATTGGCTTTTTGATCACCTGTACTCTTCTCCTCGTCCGACACCCCCTTCTTGTCCTCATGCAACAGCCTGTTATGCGTATCTTTACATCCATTCAAGCCACAGATTCTTGACCTCGTGCATGACTGACCGACGTGGTTGGCTCCTAGACATCTGTAACACAAACTGTGTTGCTTGGCTGTTTCCCACCTCTTAGCTACTGCCATAGCTTTAAACTTGCCACATAACCAAGCTGGATGCCCTTCTCCGCAGACCTTGCATGCTCGATTTCTGTCTCTTTGTTGATTCTTGGAGCCGCTCTGTTGTCTTGGTTGGCCAAAATATGTCTGATCTTTCCGTTGTGTACTAGATGAGCTTCTTGATAGTCCACGTAGCGTTTCGGCTGCTATTGTCTGGAACTCCGCCTCTTGTATCACCCACTCTCGTAAGGTTTCCACGCATTCCATTTTGCTTCTTTCATATACCCATCTGTGGTACTGTGCCAACATTTGCTCCGTCATTTTCTTCTGCAACTTTGCATAGAGTGATCCATTACCCAGTTCTTCRTATCGTCTKGCCTCCTTCAGGTTAACAACTGCGATGTCCAAAATGTCTGCAAATCTCTCGATATCTTTTGGGTGTCCTGGCCTTACTGGTTTGAAGTTCTCAAGTTCTTCAAGATGCAGCGCGATCTGCCTCCTTCTCCCGCCGTATTTCCTCTCCAGCCTGCTCTTTGCAGCGTCGTAAGCGGACGCTGAATGACCGAGGTTTTCTATGGTCTTGAGTGCTTCTCCTGACAAATATTGTCTGAGTTGGAGTAGCTTATACTCTGGAGTAGCTGGTGCCTTGTCGATGCATGCCTCGAATGCTGCTTTCCAATTCTCGTAGTTGGCTTTGTCTCCGTTGAACACAGGGATTGACACTCTCTTCAGCTGCTTCCAAAGGTCTTGGCCAATCTCCATCGCTGGCGACGTTTTGCCCTTCACGCTCTGCGTCTCTTCTTGGCCTTTGGTCTTTAACCCGCTATAGTTCTCCGTCTTGATCCTTGGTTTTTGTTCGCTTTGCTCGACATCGGCGCATTCTGGCCCGTCGACATAGTCMTCTTCTAGCCCAAGCTCCTTGTCGATCTCTTTTTCTGCTTTGATTTGTATTCTTCTGACTTCCTCTTTAACATCGATTAGTTGGTTTCTTCCTTGTAGTGATCGAGCTTCAAGTTCTTTCATTTTCTTAGCGTATTCTTCTATTTTTCTCTTTTCTGTCTGAATAGCTTCTTCTTCTTTCAATATGTTTACTTCCATTTGCTCCGCCTTCTTCTTTACTTTCATCATTTCCTCTTGAGCTTGTCCAACCTTCTGCGAAGTATCCGACGCGATACTTGATAATTCGTCTTTCCTGGAGTCTAGGTACTCTTGTGTCCTATTCTGAGCGTCCGTGAACTCTTCCTCGATTCTCTCTATTTCTTGACTTAACTTGCTTATATTTACGKCATCTTGTCTTTTCTCRTACATCGTAGATAAAGCCTCTAAATCCTCCATTACTTTATCTAGTTGCTTGTTTAGCTTTTCTCGTGCCTCTCTTACCTGACTGCGATTAGGTAAGTCTTCTTCCAGTAACTGTAGAAGTCCATGTCTTGCTCTCGTGAAAGCCGCTTTGCTTCTTGACTTGGATTGTTTTTGCCTCTCTAAAGCGTTGTTTCCTTCGTTAGATCTTCCTCCGACTTGAGAGGTTTCGTTTCTGTCTTCGTCGTCGCTGTAGAATGCTCCTTTTCTTCTTAKATTCTTTTTCCTACCCATCGGTTTTGCTTGAGTTTCCACTTGTCGTCTTCTTATTCTAACCTCGCTCTGCTACCAATCTGGTTTCGCGATAAACCTTGAGATCAATTTTTCCCTTTAACCCTTTATTTTCTTCGCACTTGTGTCGAACGTA